TGACTTCACTTCGATCTGCTTCATTTTCCAAAAAGCCAAACTGATCAGAGAAGCTGTTTCCATGGCCGTGCAGTCTCCCTCATAGCGAACATCTTGACCCACAAGTTCTTTTTGCTCCATAGTTCCGGTGTTGCCATCATTGTGCATCAATTCGATGTCCCGTGCCATATCTCAATCCTCGGTACCATCCCGATACCCAATCAACAATGACCAGGGCAACGCCCGAGAAGGACAAAATAATGAATGTATCAGCAAATAGTCCAACATGGTTCCATCCTGCCTGCCGTGGTCTTCAAGAACACTGCAATACGCTCAAGTTTTTATTTGCTGACGTTACAAGGGCTTGGTCTCACTTCGAGAGAGTCTTCCGAAGTGGGTCCTTCGAATGTGCTTGAAGAACATATTTCCACAAAAGGTATCAATTTGCCCAATCTGTGCCTTGTCAGCAAAGCGCCAGATCACCTCGGAAAGGATACATTTACCAGCGATTATTCACCATTATATTATTAAAATAATACATGCTATAATAATAAATATTGTGACGACGTTCATGCTGAAGAAAGGGGGAGAGAGAAACTGTGCGTGGGGTAAATCCCCCGGATGAGACATCTACCATCATCATACGTACGTACGTACCTACCGGTATAGTATCAGCCTACTGCCTTGGAGGGACTATCATTTTCTTTCGTGCATTCGTCATCTGTGCTTTCCGCATTCATTATTCGTTTGTTGTCTAGAAACTCAAACCATTCGTTCATTCTATTGCACCACAGACCATGATGACAATTAAAATGTGGATACTGCGACTGCTGTAGTGTACGTGTACATGAGTTGAAGTTACACGTGGATCTATCACTGTATAGTTTTTATAATTATGATCAGCATTTGTTTCGATAAATATCTTTTATATAATAAAAAGAAAAAGATCTTTTCTGAAAAGACCCGAGAGGGGCATACCGTACTCTTGGTTTGGTTTCCTTTTTCCTTTTCCTCTCAAGTCTCACTCGATTGAACCAATACATACAAGCTCCTCATGAGTTCCAAAGAAGAGAAAGATGATGACAAAGAACGCCGGAGTCGCAAATCCAGGGACCGCCATGATGAGGATGCCAAGGCCAAGGAAAGAGCACGAAGACGAAGCACAAAGAGTCATAGTCATAGGAGCGACCGTCGCAGTCAAGAGGATCGGGAAGCCAAAGACAGAGCCCGCCGTGGGACTTCTTCTTCGTCATCTCGGCCAGGCGTTTCGCATGAAAGAAACTCTTCCGATCGGGCTCGCAAAAAGTCTTCCAACGGAAGTGGGAGATCGCGTAGTGACAGGTCATCTCGTCGTACCGGTACTGGAAGTAGAAGAGGAGATGAGAAAAAAGGTTATCACAACCGAGGGGCATCTACTCCTGGAGCGCAGGCTGAGCGGAGCAGTCGAGACAGAGCAACTCGCAAAGAGGCACGAAACAGAAACAAACACAAAATTGAGGTGGGCAGTGTAATTGCACCAAGCGGAGACGAAGGTTACGCTGTACATGCCAGCATTGTGGAGGAGAATGACGTCGTTGATGAAGATCGAAAAAGGGCAGAGGAAGAAGCAAAACGACTACGGGAAGAAGAACGACGACGTGAAGAAAGGGAGCGCGAGGAATTGGAGGAAGAACAACGTCAGGAACAGGAGCGTGAGAATATGGTGCTCGAGGACAAGAACAAGAAGAAGAAGCGGCGCAATTTGGTGATTCTTATAGCTCTATTGGTTTTGATTGGAGGTGGACTCGGAGCTTACTTTGGCATTCAAGGTAGTTCAAGCAACGGCGCCGCTACTCAAAATCGTCCTGAAGATACCGCCTCTGAATCCCCGTCGCAGTTTGCTTTCAAGTACCCTCCACCAGAACTGGAAGATTGTCAACGCCTGATTAACAGGGATCCTCCAGTGGACGAGGAAGACACTCTGGAGAATCGAGAGTTTGAGGTCAATTTCGATCTCGGCTTATCAAGTGTCGACACCGATACAACTTCTGTATTGCCAGAGGTGGAACAAAAGATAGCCGAATGGTTGCTCCCTCCACTTGTGGGATGCGATCTTCAGCGTCGTTTGGGTGGGAAGAGACCCGAATCAAAAAAGATTCGGGGTGACGCAGTAGGCCGTTGGTTGCAATCATCAGAGGATCCTCTCCGGTACCTGATCGCTGATGTGTTGGACATCAGTGCAGTCGACCAAGACGAGGAATGCTCTACTACCTCTGACACTTCCAACTGCAGCTTAGTGACATTGAGAATGAATGTGGTACTTCGTGGTAACGAGCTGAACTTGGAAGTGTTGAGACTGCTCTCTCATTTCTTCCCCGAAGGCCAAAATCTCAAAGTTGAGATTGGCTTGTCGGATGACATTGACATCTTCACCGCAAGAGGTGCCCGTGCCACTGGACCTACCAAAGCTCCAAGTGTAATGCCTTCTTTGGAGCCAAGCATTTCTCCCTCTGGCTTTGCAATCAAGGAACCAACTATTCCGATTCCTGCCTCGGCCAATCCTAGTGCCCTGGCACTGGCCCCTGAACCTACCAAGGAACCCTCAGAATCACCCAGCAAGACACCTTCCGCAACGCCATCGAGTGTCCCGACTCCAATCCCGCAGCCAACATTAGCCCCAGCTCCGGGAGCAACCTCAATCCCAACAAAGGTAGCCTCTGGTGCCCCGTCCCAGATTCCGAGCCAGACGCCTTCGTCTACACCAACAGTTGCTCCTGTGGTCGGAATCACGCCATCTCCATCCGCAACACCGTCGACGTCAGAACCTACAGATCCACCGACAGACACACCAACAGACATGCCAACAGCCGAACCAACAGACCTACCGACATTCGGACCAACCGTCTCATCGACATTCGGACCAACAGTCTCACCAACGGACATACCAACAGTCTCACCAACGGACATACCAACAGTCTCACCAACTGACGTACCAACAGTCTCACCAACTGACATACCAACAGCCTCACCAACTGACATACCAACAGCCTCACCAACAGCCGGAGAAACATTCGGGGGAACATACTCAGGAACATATGGAGGCACCTTCACAGAGACATTTGGATTCTGAGAAGACACCGTTCTGCTGATTTTCATGAAGTCTTTTGTCGGTCTCGTCGTCAATATCAGCGCAACACTTGATACTTGATTTCAAGAAAGATTTCACAACTGACGCCAGCTGCTTTGGCAATACTTTATATATATATTTTTTTTAAATATAATACAACAAGTGTATATACATAATTCATTCCAACAAGCTTGGACAATTTAGGACGTCGCATATCTCCCATCGTTTTTAGAGGATCTGTATATAGTGTAACAGCAGGCAGGCAGGCTCGTGGCTCTTTCTCAGGGTTACGGCAATTGTTACTCCCTTCCAAACCGACAGTCGGATACCCTCAGTGGTGTACGAGAATGTGCTTGAGGCGATTATGCGTCCCATGCTTGGCAAGTTCTGCCGCTGAAAGTTGTGTTGATCGTACCGCGGTAGTTCTTTTTGTGCATAATAGCCAAGAGATCCGCAAGCAAGTGTTGCTGCTTCGATTTTCTCCAGATTGACCATAAGTCGACTCACTCCAGTCAGCCAAGACAGCCCAACATGATTTGGAGGGTGCCACAATGGTAGCACTGCTGCTATTCAACCAATCTGATTCGCTCTGAACAACTTGTGTTATAGTCTGAGCCACCCACCACATCACATCGCATTGTTGTTTCCATCATTATATAACACATGTGACAAGAAGTATCGGAAGTTAGTGCCATGGTTGGAGAATCGGCATCCACACGGTTCAATATTACTGCCTGCTATATATATATATATGTACATATATACATATATATTGTTGCTGCTGTTGCTGATTACGATGACCGAGACCAACTCCCAAACCTTTACTCAGAACAACAGCAATGCCAATAATGATGGCGAGGATCCAAGGCGGAGTCGAACAACACAAAGGTGATCTCTTGGACAGTTCAAGGCCAATTTCATTCTTCTCCTTTTTGGCTTCCGCAGTCCCAGTGCTGGTGAATTTTTTCCACTCCTCTCAAGACATCTTGACGGATGGTTTCCAGTAGGTTTTTGTCATTTCGGTGGTCGCTGCTGCTGCTATATATTATTATCATGGTTGGTGCTGTCTACTGTCGTTAGGCAGCTATTAGCTAATACATGCGACTGTGACGTAATAAACAGACGATGAAGTGTTTCCAGAGTTGTTGATGGTGATGGTGATAGTGATGGTGATGGTGATGATTCAGTAGGAGCAGAAAAGGTTTCTTTTATTGTTGTGGAAGGCTCTTTCATGGCGGAACTGGTTCATAAAATACGAGTAGTGGTCGTGACAATAATACTCGTACGATGTTGCGATCGATTGATTCATTCGATTGATTCATTCGATTAATTCGATGTCAAAAACACGGCTCACATTTCACAAACTTTTCCAGTTTTCACTGTTGAGCATTATTATTATTATCAGGGAAATGCGTTCGAAGGAGACCTACTCCATTCCAAACTGCCAAGACAACGGCAGTCGACCAAGTAGCAAACATACTTCATCATCTTCCACAAAGCGTCAAGGAGAGCCAAAGTTACTCACATTGTACAATAACAAGAACAAGAAACAGGAGAAGAAGAATTACAAGAATCATGAGAGCAACCACGTTTCATCCACATTGAATTTTCTACCAATGACACTAGACGATTCCAAGATTATTGCTACACCTGTTGCTCAGAAGCGTCGTAATGAAACCGGTTCTGGTGATAATGGTGATGACAACAGTGTTTGTCAACAACTCCCAACTCATGAAAATGAGGATGAACAAGAACAAGAGCAAGACGATTCGCATAATTTTGTGACGCCCAGTCCAAGACCAAGGGTTCCTGGGTTCGCTTACTCTCGAGTCTGGTTGGACAAGCATCCACATCGCGATGAGATCGAAAGTCTCTTGGAGCTTTCCAGCACTAGCAAGAAGAACGGCGATAATAACACTTCCACTCCAAAAGCTATTTTCGAACAATCGCCCAAAAAGCCGCCAGGAGGGGGATCTAAGAATATTACGAGTAGTAGCAGTGGTGGTAGTGGCAGTAGTAGTAGTATGGGAAGAACAAGAACTGGAGTATCATCACAGCTACAAGCTACCATGCAGGAACAAGAATCATCATTGATCAATTATTCTACACCCCTTTCCAAAGCCAAACTTCCATTTGCTCGTTCTGCTGCTTCTTCAAGCAGTTCTACTACTACTGCTGCTGCTGCTTCTCCAACAGCCGTTGAAACCACTGATTATGCCTCGGAACAAAGCCAGAATGAAATGATGATGCAAGACGTCATGGATGACGGCGCATCCACCAAGACGACCAACAATGAGGATGGCACGCCCAATTCTCACTCGCACCGTACCACGACCATCATTCACCGCACCGACAACTCCAATAGCAACAACCCCAAACAACATTACTTGCAAACCATTGCCACCTTGCAACAAATTCGCGACCAGCTTCAACAAGAAACAGCCAAGGCAAAATTGGAATTGGCATGCGCCAAACAACAGTTGCAACATGCGCCAATGAATCTTTCTTCTTCTTCTTCTCCTCCTGGTGAGCAACAGGAAAAGCAGCCAACTTTTGATTCACCAAACGACTTGGAAGAAGTAGATCGTGATGGTAGGGAACATCAGATGAAAGAGTAGAACGCTCCAACATTATGTATATGTGTATCTATCCATCAATTGATGCAACCAAAGCAAGTAGAGTGTCGAGGATGAAATCGGTATACGCGAAGGAATAGCAGAATCAATCATCTCCTCCATAGACGTAAGATCATTCCTCAATTGACAGCATTTGACATCCATACATACGGATGAACATTCATTCTTTCATTGCTATAGAACTACCGTACAGTATAGCCGCCCAATCTTGGCAATGGTAGACTTTTGACTTCGACTTTTGCTTCAATGATTGCAAATGATCAATCATCATCATCATCATCATCATCATCATCATCATCACTGCAAATGTATGTATGTCGTGATGAATGGTTGTTCCTATCGTTCTTTCAAATGGCAGATTGTCTCATACTATGCATTGTAATACAGTTTTGATGCTCAATACCGGTATATCATATCGGTGTGTATCTCTTCTCACCACCGTAGTCGTCCGTAGTCGTCCCGCTGCCTGCATATCTGTGATATGATAGCTATAATATATATATAATACCCGCTGGTTTATTGCTGAAAAATCCCATTGGTTGATGAGCTACCCGGATAATTTTTAAATTGTGGAAAACCGATATGTCATACCGGTAGGCGTATAGTGTACCAGGTACAACGCACAGCGAGAGGATTCATTCCAAGCGTTGGCATATTGTTCAAGGAGCAAAGCTGGATTGGAGAAATAACTCGATGCAGTAGGTAGCTTCAATTGAGGTATGCTGTGTAGTATGTTTTCAGTTTGGAAGGATTTGTGCAATCTCGTGTTGAACGCAACACGCAACATGCTGATCTACTGACTCACTCGCAGACCAAGCAAACCGGAAACTTTATTGGTGCTTTTCAGAAGTGATGATTGATTGATTCATTGATTGATTGATTCATTCATTGATTCATGGTGGCGGTAGGTACCGTAGTGACAGAGAGGAGGGAAAACTTACTGCGGTGCTGCTGCTGCTAATGCTAATGCTGCTGCTGCTAATGCTGCTGCTGCTAATGCTGCTGCTGAGGTCACCTTCAATGACCGATGTGTGTTTCTGCTGTACCGGTATTCTAAAATGGCTCAGCTGCCGATCTTGCGTGTTTGTATGGAAAACTCGGCACCGGCACTTTTTTAACTGGCACCACCTACCACCGGTAGAGCGTAGGAAGCTCCCAAATTTTTCTCGAAGTTTTGTTCACAGTGCCACATTTGCGATTAGAAGTGACAATCCTCCACAGAAATACATAACAAACCAGAAGTCCGAACGGAAACTTTTCCGGCTTGAAAGATCCGGAATTTTCAATTTAAGCGCCAGAAAGCTCTTGTGCGCAAGTTTGTTCGGACTTTTGAACACCAAGTGGGAACATAGTCGAAGTGGTTGAGTAGGACTTTTTTTAATTATAAAAGAAGAAAAAAATTCTACATGTATTCTCTACTGTTATATAAAAAGTACTTGGCATCTATTTGGTGGAGGGGCTTGCCAAGAAATACATATAAGTACAGTATGAAACAAGAAGACCGAACGGGTAAAGATACGGAATTACTCCTCTGCTCCAATTTGTTCGGACTTTTGCAACGAAGTGGGAATAAATGTCGAAGGACTAATGGACCGATATCAAATCGTTATTTAACAAACGTTTACGGCAGTTGCACAAAAGTCTTTATCATTATATATAAGTGTTCCATGATGGGGATTATGACGAATCAGAAGTCCTTCTAGCCAATCATAAACACACGCACAACCAGAAACTCTTGAACTTTCTCTCCCCAACTCGGCTCAGATTCTGAGAATAATAAATGATAAACTATCAAAAGGCGGCACTTTGGATAAAAGAGCATCACAAAGTCCACGTATGCTGGCATCAATGATTGACACCCCTCATCTAGCGTCATAAAACCTACTTCGATTTGCATTAGGATAGTCTCACAATTCCTGAAAGCTCCTATCCGTATCACCCACACATTTCAAGAATACCAAGTTCCCAAAACAGCGCAGCATTTGCCACTCTCCCATATATCCAGCATTCAATTCGGAAGAAGTTGATATCACAGCGCCCAGCAGCAGCAACATAACACGCACAGCTACTACTACTACTACTACTTCTACGACTACTGCTACCAGAACTGCTTCCAACAATCCAATCATGCCACCTTACGCTTCTACTACTCGTCGGGGAATTCACGTTGTCCACGCCGACCATGATGTGCGCCGCATGTCCAGTGAATGTTGGGCACAACCAATACTCAAGCAACCCCTGTATTTCATCGATGAACGCTTTGTCCGATTCCAAGACAATGTGATTGTCCATGAGTACCACCCTCAAGAACACCACCAGCAAGAACAAAGTCAAGAACAGACCAATACCACAAAGTGGTACTCGACCAAAGAACTTGTAAGGTTTCATCAAGAAGCCAACAAGGAAGGTCGTCACTCTCAAAGAAGATCTCGCCCACTCCCAAGAGGTTTGGAGCGTCATACCACTCAAGGATTGCAACGCTGCCTCAAGAATCGCCTCTGTGCCATGGCCCTCGTGTTGGCAACTCAATACACAGCCGCTCAACAGCAACAGGATCGACATTCATCCGAGATTATGATTGCCAAGGCATACCACGACATTACAAGACATTGTCAATTGGAAGCCACGGAGACGGGATTGCGAGATTATTTGGAAACCTTGGAGAACAGCAGAGAGGAGGAAGTCGACCTGCAATGTCAGTACTCTTCAGGAGCTTGTCTCAGCATGCCCCATTGGCTTTCGGCACTACTAAACAAGAGAGCCTTTCAGCACCAAGAAAAGCGCATGTTACTTCTATGAGGACATATATAAGCTTATCTTGATGTTCTACTACTGCTGAGGGGAGGGGATTCAGCGCATTTTTGATACCACCAGTGCACTTTTACAATCATTTTGTTTTCCTTATTGCACTTTGGTATCCACCAACCAGGACCTACACTACGCATAGCTATACTCGCACATTGCTATTTTAACTTTAAAGAAAACTAATCCAAGCTCGAAGGCATGCATAAATTTGCTCCATGACAATGTGTTAGGTATCCATTCCATATGATCCGGCAATGCTGGCCTTGATTATAATAGAAGCTGATAAAGAAAACCGATAGGACCCTACGGAAGGTGTATCGCCAATGTTGAAGATGTCTGAGTGGTTGTGCGGTGTCTGGCTGCGATCGTCTTCGCGTTCCCCAAAAAGTTCTTGAAGAGATTTTTTCCAAAAGCTGCTTTCGGAAATCAATGAATCAATGAAGATTCAATTCATCACTTGCACCCACAGTACTCTTCCCAATCCTTTTTATGTTTATGTTCTTCATGAATTACTACGGAAGTCATAGATGACGCAGTGCCATCACATTTGACCAAGCTATGTCCAAACAAATTGAAGTGGAAGGGGGATATGACATATGACCATGACCAGATTGCCCGATAATAAAATATATGGGAGCTGCATACAGTTTTGATTGCACTCGATCAATCACAAAAGACTGAAATTTCGGAATTGTGCCTCTCCTACTGTATAACCAAAAACACTTCAGAACCGGTACGAGAGTCCTATATTGCAGACTTCTACTGTACGACCGTCGGCCAACCACATCATGTCACCGATCAGCAGTGTTCTGCCTGACCAATGTTCAAGTTGCGTTGCGAGACCTGTGTCTGTTTGGCTCATCCTGTCGCGAATCGATATGCGTGGGACAATCCGAGATTGTGATTCTCACTGGTGCATGCACCCATATGCGCTTCTCCTGTCATATAATGTTTTTTCAACAACCACCACCACCTCGACAACAACACTCCTTGCATTTTCAGTATTCTTCTTCGCTATTGTTGTCGCCTATTTTAACAACAGTACGATGATGAGTACTAGGTACCATGCATGGTACGGTATGATACTCAGAGGGCGCGACGTACAGTACAGTAAAGTACGTGTACCTATTGAGGGTTTGGGATCATTTGTGATACCGGTAGTAGATATTGTTATATTCCCTAAATGCGGTACAGTAACAGTACCGGTATACTGAGCGTTTGCGCCGAGCGAAGCAGCACGTACACCCCGAGACACCAACAATTATGACAACATCCAAGGGGAGTATACCAACTATAAGGCTATTGAATGGTTCCGAGGACTTTCTGAATGCGAGCAAGTGAACTATGGCAACTACTACAACATGAACGGCCAGAATGGCAATGGTAGCAAACAAAAGCAACAACAGCAGCAAACATATAGCCAAATATACAACGAGTTGTACGCGGGCCTCATGTGCAATGCCGATGGGACTGGAATTGAAGTTGGCATCTTCATGGATGAGGAATGTTCTGTTTGGAATCCATCCAAATCTTTCATGAGCATCTTGGTTGAAGGTACACTGCCATACTTTTACTAAACCAAAACGAAGAACCTTGTCCTGTTTCTTTTCACAAAGCAGGTTGGCTGTGGCGAGACAGAGTACACGGTCCCCTACGGCAACGAAGGGTACGACAACGGGGGAAATTACAGCAGCTACGAATATGATAAGTCTGGTTATTTGAAGGCGAAAGACGGCTGCCAATTCCTCTTTGAAGGAAGTATTCACAATATTGGAGGAACATGTGCAAATACAGCCACCGACGACGACGGTAACTCTGCATCGCAGGATGTCATCACACAGGATGGTAAATATACATATTTCAGTTCTTCTGGATGGTCCACATATCAATATGATATAAGTTATCAAGTGGTGTGTACTGCGATTCAGAATCAAGTGGACGATGGAGAGACGCATACAACTAGTACTCAGTCCAAGAAAGACAATATATACACGTACAACACAAGAACGACATCCTTGCTTGACGACTCTAACTTGACTGTCGAAGATTTATTCCTCATCATTTTTGGTATCATTTTTGGTATCATTTTTGGTATCATTTTTGGTATCATTCTGGCAATTGTTATGCTATATTTTATCCGCAAGAGATACTTGAGTCAACAACACGGCAGGAAAGAGCCACTCATGAGCCTTGGACAAGACATGTCATCAAAAAAGAGCAGCATGCTACAGATTTTTTGGAGTTGATACAAATCTGTCCATATCGCATCTGCTCGATAGTAGTGCAATGTTAGTCTAGCAGTGGAAATAGCCAGCACGAAGATACACGCTATGTGACAGTGGAAACAAATCCAATAGACCACGCGTCACGCCTTCTAGATTTCCCTCTTAACCTTGATTGTCTTCTGGCTCTTGTGGATGTGCTCTTGTACCCGTAACACAAGATCACTCTTCTTTCCCGACAACTTTTCCCCAATTGAGCGCAGGTATTTCTTCAGTTCGGGTAACTTGCATGAGTCTAGTGCGCCTTCTTCATATAATTCCACCCAATTTATACCAGAATCATCCTCGACCATTTTCCGCTTTCGTCCTGCTACCTTAGGCTTTTCAGCATCATCTGGCAATAGTATCTTAAACCGTTCAATTTGCGTTCCGGCCGCTTTCAATACGTCCTCATCAGGTACTTCGGTATCGAATTCAGTCCTTGCTTCAAAGAAAGGATCTTCCATTGCTATAGCCTCAATGTAATCGAAAAATTTCTGCAATGCAGCGTTCTCTAGATCTTCACCAAGTTGTATATCCTCGTCGACAGTTCGTTTCTCAATCACATCCATCGCCGCTTGCACGAGTTCTTCCGAGGCAACATAGCCAGTATGAGTATTTTCCATCAGATTAATGCTCGTGGAAAGAGAGGAAGTGAGATCAGGAGCTGCACCCCCGTCTTCCAAATTGGCACCATTTCTAGCCAACCCCTCTGCCATCGTCGACTGAAGGCGGAGCTCCTTCATAGCTTCATCCAACTCTGGCTCCCTAATATCGTCTTCAAAGGGCAACGGAACTACCATAAGTCCAGGTGGGAGTCGTTGAGTACCTTCCTCTTTATCCAGCAGCTCATGCAGTGGACGAATGACTACGAGTTTGGACGTCCAGCCCACACGAAAGAGCACTTCTCCGATTGCAACGACATTCTTGCGGATCATAGCAGCACGTAGATTGATGAATGCATTTCGATTATCTTGCTGCGCCTCTCGATCGTTGCCATCAACTTGGGGATAAACAAGATAAGCAGAATCTATGGCGTGGTAAAATGGAATCAAATGTGATGGACGAAAGCCAAGGAGAACCAGGTTGGAGCTATCCAATTTTCCACTGGCTGCATTCTTCAGTTCTTTCATTTCCGACTGAGACATAGGAACCAATTCTCCAGCAAAGTCAGCAAAAGTTCGAATACGATGTAACCCAGGTTGCATTGTTTCTGAGGTTGTTCTATCAAAAGTATTGCCTCGCTTGACTGTTGCGAGAACCTCACCATGGTCGTCAATCAGGTTAGTGACCTTGATTGTCTCTCTGTATGACAGTATCACAAGCATGAGGTTATACCAATCACAACAAAAGCCCGTCCCAATGAAGCCATAATTTTAGTGACGTACAGTTTCGTTTGCAAATCTATTTGGACGGTGCTTGGTTTCTTTGCCAATTGCACAAATTTGAACCAATCGATCATAATCGCAGTGTCCTTGTCCTTGTCCTCGTCGTCTTGAGCGTCTTTCTCGTCAAGGATCCGTTTCCTCCAATCAGGCAAGCGCATCGGGCCGTAATAGGCCCGTCGCGGTTTCTTGTAATCATGACGAAGTTCCTCTAAGGCTTCCTCGAACTCTTCCATTGTTGACATGGGACTTGCAAAAGGTGCATAGGAAACGATATCTTGGTAGAATAGTGAGTGGTCAAACGATGGATCGTTGTAGCCCCTTGGACTATCTCCGTCACTAACGTCCTCCATTTCACTGTTCCCACCAGTGGCCATGGGCCACACTATAATCTTGACATTTTGTTCTTTGGCTTCGTCAGCGATTGTTTTCATCTGCTGCAAGGCTCCAGGATATGGGTTATCATGCGACGTAAAGATCCAAATTGACTTGGAATCAACGACTGGGTTACTGTTGGAGAATGCGTCCTTGACACACTTGGCCTTCTTGAACATGTCCTGGCAAACCTCCAATGCAGTTTGCAGGGGTGCCATAATGTCGCCCGAATTTTCCTGAGATTCCTGTTGGAATTCTTCTTGCACATTGCGTTCCTTTTCCAAACACTGATTCAAATCGAGAACGTGTGATATTCCGGGCGGAATTAATGGCATCAATATATGAACTCCTTGATTTTGTTTTCCATCATCGTCGTCACAGTCCTCTTCTTCCATTGCAGTTTTCGACGATGTCTGTCGCTTGGTATTGAATAGAACAATCCCGATTCCATTGCGTTTTCCCGTCCGTTGTGAAACCGTGGTGCGAACAGTATCCTGCAAGAGGGCTTTGGCAACTTGCAACCCATTGTCCATTGCAGACTTATCGTTACCGGCGCCAAAGGTTCGAAACATATCAACACGACAGTCTAGAAGCATGAGAACGTGCTGAGCACCCTGGTCTAGAGGACCTTCGGTGCCATCTTGTCCCTGAGATTGGTAATCATCGTTTGCCCAATCCGGCTAGGATGGAATTCGTTAAGGGGGAGCGGATTTATAGTGGCAATTGCAAGGATCGATTGATTGAGAGAGATGAATTGATTCCAGTGATCAAATTGATCAATTGCAAGCCATGCATGCAACCAAGCCCGGGCTTACCTCCTCTCCAAAGAGATCAGCTCCAAAAAGGCTTTCGTCGTCCATTGGTATTATAATAATTATGCCACGATAGGAAGAACTGGTTCCAGGTACCTGGTACAGTACAAGGTACTTTGTCCTCGTATACTGTGTATATTGTATTATAAAATAGTTTCGACTTTTCGGGAAGAAACAGTCCGTACGTGCCGGCGTCCGTTTTCGGGAAAACCCGTTTTCGAAGCCGGATTTCCCGAAAACGGGTGGGGCAAAACGGACTCGCCTAAAATACAGTACGTTGTCGCTTCGACGACTGACTCACTCGGCTTGGGCGCAGAAAACGAAAGATATGTCATAATCTGCAGAGTGGCCCGTCTTCTTTTCCCAGGCAGCTTTGCTTATATTACTTTGTGGGTAAACTGAGATGTACGGTGGGGTTTGGTGTTCTACAACCCGAATTTGGTCGTTTTAATTCCGACTCCGTCGACCAACTCCAATGTTCGACTCAGTCGACTAAATATTTGTTCAGCGCCCGCACAAAACATATCATATATAATGTCATCCATGCAGGATCATGTGCAAGGATCCCTCTGGGGAATGCTGATTGCTGATGCCCTTGCCATGCCTGTACATTGGTACTATACGCCAGGAACGATTGAACGAGACTTTGGACCGGACGGTATCCAAACTTACCACGCTCCCAAGCATCCTCACCCCGATGCCTTTGCTTGGAGTATGACGTACTCTGGTAACATCGATATCTATCACGGAGTTCAGAAGTATGTCCAAGACAGCAAACCTCCGCCAGAGGAGAATCCGCATTATCATCATGGTTTGCAAGGAGGAGATGTCACACTACAAATGCAGTGGGCAAGGGTTTTATTAAAGTGTTTGGGAAAGGATGGCTCTGAAAACCATGATTGGGCACAATCCTTTGTTGACTTTATCCAAACGCCGTCACCCGCGCTGAACAATGATATTTATCGCGATGTCTTCATTCGACGATATTTTGAACGTCTTTCAGAAGGACTGCCACTGGCGGAATGCCCAGTTCCTCAAAAAGAGTGTTGGAGTGTTGGGAGTATGGGCGGTGTTATTCCTGGATTGATGACAGCATTGTCTTTTGCCAATAGCCCTGAAATATCCATGGAGGACATGGTGGCACGCTCGATTGAAATCCACAGGAAAACGCACAACAGTGAAAACGTTTCAGAGGCAGTCACAATCTTGGCACCCTTGGTTGTCAAGTTGTGTCGGATGCCGAAACGAGAACAAAAGTCTGAATACAGCGGTGATCCTTCCGAGTCCAGCTTAGTCCCAGAAGCCATCGATCCTCGTCGCATGCTGATTCTGGATGCGGCCAAGTCATTCCCACTGCCTGCCGTCACAGGGGCATCCTTACTGCGACGATACAACAAGGCCCGTGGTCCCGGTAATATTCCCAACGACGAAATGTATAAGTTGCATACGAAACGGCGAGAAGGAGTGGTATTCGATCCTTCCTTGTACATGGATGTCCCCGACTCTAACGTGATTGGACGCAAAGGATTCTTAGGAACCGTCTGCTACACGGAGCATGGAGTGCCTGCCATTTTGTACTTGGCGTACAAGTATTTTGAAGATCCCGCCAAGGCGCTGAAAATCAATGCTAATTTACTAGGAGATTCCACTAGTCGCGGATCATTGCTAGGGTGTGTGTTGGGAGCAGCGCATGGCACAGAATGGTGTCAAGAACTGATCAGTGGCCTACGACAGAAGGATGAGTTTCGACACGATATTGAACGGTTCTCGGAGGAAGTTGTATCGAAATGAAGTAATGCGTGTATGTGATATAGGATTGAATGAATGAATGAATCAATCAACTCGTCCATCCATCATGGATCATGGTTTCGCAAACATTCATGATTTCGCACTGTCAGCAAGATCCGCTGTTATTGCAGCAACAACTCGATGAAACTTGAAGGTTGATTGGCATCTGCATGAAGAGCATTGCGATGCACAATGACAAATATTCGAGACGCAACATCAACAAAAAATGGCTCATTACAAATGTAGATATTCCTTGAAGTTTTAGGTGAATATCACCATTTGTTTGACCCCTCATCGTGATTCTTTCCTCGACAAAGAGTATGAAAACAGATGGACGGCGCACATGAGCAGGATGAAGTAATAGATATTTAGAACCGAGGATGACACAGTAGGTACGACAATTAGAGAAGTCGACGAACAGAACAAGATAGTACTGTACAGTAAGCATACCAAAGAAAATGCAAAGCCAAACGAGTGGGATGCAGCAGGACTGATACTAATGGTTGTCAACATTACAAGGCAGAGGTATACGAGCACCGAAGAGGGAAAGCTTCAAATTTTAAGGCGCTCTGCAACATCATCAAAGACAAAAGACTTCATAAAATCACCAAGGCTCCTATAACAATGCACAGAAAAAAAGAGCAACAACGAAGTAGCAAGTGGAAAGAGAGAGAGGAATATAATGACGGCGGAGCTGCGTACAAATCGCATTCAACAAACACGACCGACGATATCAGCAACACTACAAGAAATCAATGACAAAGAGCCTCCATCAAATCCAGCCGACGTGAGGAGGAGTCTTCCACATAGGAAAGGCAGCAACAACAACAAGAAAGGCATCAGAAAGCGCCATTGTACACGAACATGCAACAAATGAGTTCTGGAAGAGGCATATACGTTGAAGAAGGACGGTATTGCACGAGCTCTTGAAAGAGATGGGATCCGAGGGCTTGGAGAGATAATATATGAGAGTAGCAAGTTGTAGGACCGCATCAAAAGGGGAGCTGAAGACACTGCCGCTGCCCGTACGGAGGGCGGATCATCTTGTAGATCTCTGTGGCGTACAGTAACTTGTCGTGGATTGTCTGTTGAGCTTGTTTCTAATCAACATCAGAGAGGGAAAATGATCAATGAAGGAGACACAGTGTTAGCCGCTTTTTATGAAAAGGTCTTGCACCGCGACGAAGCAATGGAAAAATGGTTGACTCACCGTACTTGTACTGCTGCTGTCGTTACTCCATGATGGTTGCTCTGGCCAGCAGCCAACAATATGTCCAGTTTAGCGAGCTTGTGTAAGGAGCTGGTGGGCCGCCATAGAGTTGTAACACTAGCCAAGTCCAAGAAGAAACCCCTTCGCCCATATACCTACTAGTAGTGTACTATAGCCTTTATCAATTTACTACTGTTACTTCCTCTTCATGATTAATAATAGCAACAAGTTAAGAAAAAGACAGGATGTGTAGATTGCCAGTCAGAAGTAGTGGATAAAACAGTATTAAAATATTAAATCGATACTATCTCGACTTAACGGTCCTTGGTGTCATGTTTGATGGTTGACGAGAACCTTTTTATTCTTTTTATGATATACTAATCCGATGGCAGATGGCTCTATCTTAATGCATGAATATGCCTGCTTGTTCATGCTTACCATATTGTCGCTGGAAACCACAAAAAGGGGAAACAAAACACGCATCTATATACTCTTTTTCATCACAAGGCTGTCCACTTGAACTTCCTCGAATTCGCCCGTCGCAGGATCTGCACGCAGGGCATCATCATTCTCGATACCAAAGGCAACCGTATAGCCGAGTTTGCCTTCGTAAAGGCTACGAGCCGCAGCATTTTCAGATTCGACAATGAGCCAAATGTCGGAAAATCCCCAGCTTTTTGCTAGATCTTCCACTTCGTCGCATAAATACTTGGCAATTCCACGACCTCTTGCACTCGATGCGACGGCAAGATTGGCAACCAGGGCAATCGCCTGGGTATCTTCGGGAAGTAGTTCATCTGCAATCCTTTGAATAGAAGCTTTTTTGTATTCTCTGCGAAGTTGAGGAGACAAGGCTGCAACCGCATTCTTGGCTATACTCTCGGCTCGTTCGGATTCCATGACAGTTTCTCCCACCAAGAGCGTGGACTTGAGAGTGACCACAGCGAGCATGTCTTTTGTCTCGGCATCCAACACGCTTAGAATCTGCCCATCCAGAGTCCTGACCCCCATCTGCTCCCCGTACTTTTCTTGTAGATCGGCACTCTGTTCAATGACCAGACTTCTTTTAGCAGTATCCGAAATCATGTCTCCGCTGACATCGTGGTGCATAGAACCCAACCAAAAGTTGTCCACGAGAAAGGCCCCCACCATGTTGATGTATCTTTCATTTTGACTCGATACCAGATCCACTGTTTCTGCATCAAACTTGTTGCTGGTAGCTTCCTCTTTTTTCGGCACCTCTTCGGCAAAAAACATTGGAAGTTGAGTTGTCTTGGAATCTACCGGTAGCAGTGTCGTGGTTCCTCTCCCTGCCTTGTTGTTGTTGTTGTTGTTGGGAATGAAAGCTAAACATCCTTGAAGGAGTGTTAGTGAAAACAGTATTGTAAACTTCATGGTGGTTGGTTTTGACAAGAAGAAGGTAGAATGAAGAATGAAGGAGGTAAGCTTGAGAGCAATATGGTATAATGGCTGACGACGATGATGTGTTCTACTTTCTGTCGGATGATGATTTTGTGTGTTGGAAATAATGCGTCAGTGGCGTTGTTGCGAAGTCGTGTTAGTCGTATTCTTGTTACTCTATGATATGACCCCGATCCACGAAAAACCCCCCCTTCCCATACCCACTTTCGGGCTTTTCTAAAAAAATATCACCACAGAATTTAAAAATGGTCATTTTTAGAATACGTGGTATTTTAACGCCAATAAGACAGTGCAAAGGGCAATTTTTCGGGGATTTTAGCCCTATGCTCGAAAGTACTTTGCGACAATTTTTGATTGCGGGATGATGAATCAACTGATTCGCATCACCACTCACGATGGGACAATGATTGAGGGCGAAATGGAAGCCAAAGAAGGTAACTACGCCGGCTACATCACAGACACCATCTACAACACGTGTTCCAGAAGAGCAATGGGGTTTGATTTGCAATCATGCAAGGTCAGAGAAGTGGTGTGATAGCTATCGACGAGAAAATGAAACAAATTCGAAAATAAGGAAGAGGCTGGAAACGACACGACCGAATGAAGGATTCCTCTTCCCTTTCCTTCCCTTTTTTTGTCCCCAAGGTCTAAGGTCTGTTGATTGTTATGTTGGAGAGCTACTATGGTTTCCATGTTGCTGTGGCAGTTGCTGATGGCAATTGATGAAGATGTTGCTTGATGAGAATGGCGAAGACTGCCACTGTGGAGAGAATGGAATGAATTAAAGAAGACGAAGAGTCGTAGGTAATGTAGTATAGGCTTGGATGTAGGTAATATGTTAGCTTTGTTACGTATTCCCTCAGTACTGTAGTGGTAATGTTGACAAAGGTGATGTCTTGGATGCCATTTTGGTTCCATCGGTACGGAAAATTTCCACGAGGCACTTGGTGGAATTTGCGCGCGAACCCGGTTTTTTCCGTACGTCATCAGTTTCAGAACCCATTGCGCACTTCTATGCGCTCGCCCGTTGAGAATTCTTCAACCACATCAAATTTTCCTTCCGTCGGCAATGGTGAGCCTCGAGGCCGAGGAAAGCATCACCCTCTGGAGGAAAACTCGTGGGTCGCGGACATTCTCTGTATCGTACCCGAATCCACCTTGTTTGTATGAAGTGATATGGATGCATTTGCCATTCTCACCTCTGAAATCACTGCTAAAGAACCTCAACAAGGTACGAAAACTACTTTTCGAGAGGTTTCGGGACGTCTACGAAGTCCCAAGGCAACATAGAGCTAGAATGTTCTGCGGAAGTTGCTTATGTTGTTATACTAACGGCAATGATACCATTCTATATTCTCTATCTGGGTTCCTACAGGACAATTTTCAACCCAGACCATTGAGTTGCAAATTCGTCAGACACAATGAAATTGCACGGCCTGGACCCCATGAGTAGAGAAAGTGGAATCAGAGGTTGTGGCAACCATAGTTGATATATATGTTACGTCGGGAGCGGCAGTAATTATGTTGAACATCTTTTTCTGGGCCGCAATCACACAATAATCCACCATGATTGGTTCCGTTGGTTGCTTGGACTGGACGGATAGGTGTCAAGAAGACGTATTTGCCGAGTGCGACTCATATCTACCGTCACCATCAAGACAATATCTACACAGAGACTCGTTCGGAGTGTCGAACTACCAAAATTGACGATTTGGAGCACATCAAGGTGCCATGGTGCGATGGTTCCCCTCGTTTGGACTGGCCAGTGTGGACGCCCAGAGAAGTAAAAAGTGAAGCACATGTTGTGGCAAGCGTATTTGATAGATAGACTATGGCTGGAGCGGCCATTCATACTTCTATTTGCCTCAGTTACACTACAATCTACCTTGTTTCGTTCGACTGGTTCTGTTGGGCTACCGAAACTGGTCGGCAGAAAGTCAAGAGGGCCAGTGCCTCCCATTCAACATGTGCTGGAAAGCTCGGCAGTGATCCTACCTACTCGGGGATCCATTCGGTTGTGTTTTGTTATGAATACTTGTTGAGATATTGGAATTCCAGTGTTTGGTGCTGTCTGTTCCCCTTTCAGCATGAAGGTCGGCGTGGCCGCCCTGGAGACAGCCAACCATTCAACAATACACCAGAGCCTCCCTTGGATGCCTATTGTTTAAATTTTCTGGGACCCAGGCAATGGTTCCGCCTAGATTAAGAATCATGCCGCCCAAACGGGGTTAGAAATCATGGAAATCTGGTCCAAAAAGCCACTTGGTGGTGGTGTGGGCCGGATTTCCTAAAAATGCCTTGTTCTAACACATATTTGTCGTCCATGGGTATGCATGAGAAGATTGGTGGCTTTGGAGTGGACATTTTCTAGGTAAAAGTGATTGAATAGCATTCACACTGCTTTTGGGATCAATCCAGGTTCATGAAACAATGTGGCTGGAACCCTTCTCAGTAGCCGAGTCGATACCCTGACACGATGGCACCAAGTTCAAAGTTGGTCAAAATATATATAGTAATCGAATTTGGGTGGTGGTTTGGAGGGCTATGGCGGAAAAAAGAATCTAGGATAGCATAATTTTTTTCTCTCTTTCCTACTTTTCAATTGACTTTGTGGAATGGCCTGAAATAAGATCGATATACACAAAGATCTCTAATTCAGAGTGGACCCAATCCTAGAAAATATATATACTTATAATATCGCATTGAAATTTATCTAAGAATGTAATCGCAACAAGGTCGTATGGTACGAGATCAGCCTCTGGCCTCTTGAGTTTTTTTTGGCAATCACACGAGTCAATATCAAGTCAATTGAGTCAATTTGACTAACGGCTGTTTTTTTAGCCGTTACCAGAAAGTTGTTTTCTGCATTGGAGCCCCTATAACACCCCCTATGAACTTGGGATTTTTCACAAGGGATGGGCAAAGTATTCTCTAGCGCTTTGAAAAGGTTTTAGGTCCGTAGGTGTCTTTTGAAATTTTTGCTTTGTCCCAAGAATTCCAAATTCCACCCGAATTTTGGGGGGGTATTTCGTGGATCGGGGTCATATATATTCAATATATTATATGTCATAATTACGGTCATATTCTTTGTACAGCTCCCATTCCATGGCGCATTGTGGCGTTGTTCTATGGATTGTGACGTTGAAAGTATTTCATACCTGGTGCTCGCAGTACAATGTACACCAAACATGATCCAAGAGTTACATACTTTGCATTTGCTTAGGTGTACCGGTATCCTCATCGACCCACCATCGTCTCGTTGCATACGTCACCTGAAAGTTGGGACGCTCATTGCATATCCAACACAATGAACCCTACGCTGAACCAGCAACAGATGCACAATGAATAAATTATCTGCTCGCTGGGATAGTCGTCCTGTGTTCCCGGATTAGCACCTCTGGATGCAACCGTGTTGCCGCAGTACTATCTACTGTATATCCACCAGCCATTTTCCTTACAGAGTAGAGAAAGAATGGACTACAATCACACTAATAACGCCCTCCAAACACTGACCCGCAACGACTGGCTGTGTCCAACGATGGGGAACCAACGGTACCAGCGGAATTTTGATCAACAGCCGTTGCGGATCACCATGACCGATATATCTCCGCAACAATAACCGGCCACCAAGTTGCAACGATAGTATGGAAATATATTCCCATGGTGCAATCGCAAACTCATATCTTTCACCAAAACATGGGTCCATATCGCCCTTCCACTTGATCCAACAATGGAGAGTGGTCGTATGGAATACCAGATGACTGCGTATATACAGTGCCCAATGTCAGAAATGGCAGGACCATCAGCCAGCCACACCAATATCCCTGAGCACTACACGTACCTACTGTATTCATACAGTGAGAATTTCCACCGTTGCAAGGATACGTACAGCTCCACCAAACAGTGTTCCACGTCGTCCATGTTCAATATGGCTCCATTACTGGTGTTTCAATTCTTGCCACGCTTTTGGAATTGGGGACATCATTTTATTATTGTGGGTACTTGTATCATCAAAAAGTTATTGATGATGATATATCATGATGCGAAGCGTTCTCGTTTGGACCCATTCGACTCAAGAAAAGATTTCTGACCACGCACGTGATGACGACAACCATCTCATCATCATCATGATCATTTTTATTATTGATCAATTCACATTTTGGCTGCCTGCTGCTGCTCTCATCACAACGAACACCCACTTGCTTCTTTGAAAACATATATATATATATATATACATACATACATATACCATGGCTAAATACTCTGCTTCCCTATTGCTAGCATTCCTCTGCATCGCTTCCGCTGCAGCCTTTGCTCCTTCATCCATAATCGAATCTTCGTCCCGTTCGGCGACTTCTCTCTATGGTGCAGTCGGAAAGGCCAAGCCCAAATTCAACAAGGCAACTGAGAAATGGGAACGTTCCCCAGCTGATGATGGAAAATACCCCTACGATGCTATCGGCGCTCTTTTGAGACATGGTCCTCCTGCCTTTATTTCCAGAGTGACCGATTCCGACGAATACGAGCAATTTGTCTTGAATTACATGGCAACTGCCGGAGTCGACCGTTCCGAAGCCACTGGTAACATTGACGCCAAGTTGGCCAACCCCGTCGACTGGTCCTTCCAAAAGGTGGAAGAAAAGAAGGGCAAACCCAAGGTTGACTACACGGAATTGAAGCCAAGAAATGCGATCTTGGCGATTATTTGGGCGCTTGGTAAGTTTGCTTTTTATATTGGAAGAATAGATATCAGAGAAGAATTGGAGTAGATTGTCTGCATCAAAAGCTTACAGTATCTCACGGAATTTTTTGCTTTTGCTTTTGCTTTCTGAATTACCCAGGTATCACACCCCTTACGATTAATGTCATCCAACAAACGATTTCTCAATGGGGTCAAGGAATCGCAGCAGATGCATATGGAAGACATTAATAGTTACATCCATTTGCTGTGAGTCTGTTATTGCTAATGGGAGGGCAGAGAGTTCAAGGCATTTTTGACTGCTACTGTATGGCGACCAAATAGACACAATAGACGCCATAGAAAATGAAAGCAAGTAAGCAATCTGGGCTTGGTTTCACAGCTGGAAAAGGATTGATTGATGCATTCATTCATTCTTTCTTTCATTCATTGATGGATACACGTAATGGTAGTATTTCTTTTTTCGCATCATTTGTCCTTTTCATTCTCAGGTTTGCGGTTATAGGAACCGGTAGACATGTCGTCTGGCTTGAAGCTCTATCCTTGCTTGAAGCTGCATACCGGATACCGGTACGATAAATTCGGTTGAGTCGAATGAAACAATCCATGCTTTGTACTTTATTTTACCGGTACGCACCAGCTGTACACTTATATCTGCTTACTTAGGCCAATTTGGAATTAGCGAAGCCCGAAAATGGCACTTTCGAACGGCAGTGTTTGGTTCAATCAATGCGGAGGCTTATGTTCTATGTCGACGACAAACATTGAAGGGCTTTTGAGATCTACAAAATTTGTCAACCGGTAATTTCGTCACAGCTATAATTTTACTTTACCACTTTCCTCAAGGTGATGCAAGATTTTTGTCCTTTACCCTCTTCAGTACCGGGGAGTTTTTTATTCCTCCTTTTCGCGCTCGTTGTGTCAGGAAATTTGTTATCAAGTTCAACAACATGACCACTTCGGCATTCACCAAGGCCACGTCTTTTTACAAATCCTCTAAAAATGAATTGGCGAATTTTATTATAATACGTGGTATTTAATATCTCCTTACTTATTAGGCCAATTTGGAATTAGCGAAGCCCACTTTCGAACGGCAGTGTTTGGTTCAATTAATGCGGAGGCTTATGTCCTATGTCGACGACAAACATTGAAGGGCTTTTGAGATCTACAAAATTTGTCAACCGGTAATTTCGTCACATACTTCA